TATCGGCTCTTACTTTATCTTGTAACTTAATGTACGCAAAATGCCGGATTATACTTTGAACGAAATTATTGATATTGTTCTGGTACTTGGAGAATGCCATAATAATTATCGACAAGCAGTGGTATTGTACCGTAATCGATTTCCTCATAGACGACATCCAAATCATTGTACAATTTCCAGACTTTTATTGCGTCAACGACAACGTCAACGTCAAAAACGACAAGGACGTCATATTAACGTACTAGAAAGGGATGATCCAACGGTACTTGCCGTATTGGGAATGATAGCTATTAATCCATGCGTGTCAACGAGGCAAATCGAAAGAGAATTAGGTATTCCGAAATCAACAAGTCACAGGATCTTGACCACTCATAACTTCCATCCTTACCATATCACTTTGACACAACAATTAACACTCAATGATTTTCAACAAAGACTAGAATTTTGTAGGGGTGCACAAATAATGTTAAATCGTGATAGAACATTTTTCAGATTTGTTTTATTTAGTAACGAAGCAACTTTTCACAACACTGGACAATTAAATCGACATAATTCTCATTATTTTCTGGGTCTGTTGAAAACCCACGTTGGTATAGAGAAGTTAATCATCAACATCGCTGGAACCTCATTGTATGGTGTGGCATATTAAACGGAAACCTCATCGGCCCTTATTTCTTTGACGAAAATGTTAATGGTAATAATTATTTATACTTTCTACAACAAAGATTGCCGGCGTTGCTTGAAGATACCGATCTGGATACAAGACAACGTATGTTCTTTCAACAGGATGGTGCGCCTGGAGTAGAAGAGTTAGAAACCATTTAGATCTCACATTCCCAGGTAGATGGATAGGACGCAGTGGACCAGTGTCATGATGTCCTAGATCTCCAGACTTGTCAAGTCTAGATTTCTTTTTATGAGGATACTTGAAAAACATAGTATATTCAAAAACACCCACAACAAGAGAGAATATGATGGAGCGTATAACTCTTGCCTGCCGTAGCATTCCAAGAAATATACTTTTATCGACAGTTGACAGTTTTGAACGTTGAGTTCAATTATGTGTGGATAATAATGGACAGATATTCGAACACTTATTAAGATCATAATCATTTCACATAAAAACTAGATTCTAATATGAATCGACCGGATCAGTCCCGATCTTACTTTAATTGGCCGGATCAGCCCCGATCTTGCTTTGATCGGCCGGATCAGCCCCGATCTTGCTTTA